CCAGAAAGTACTGCAGCGAGTCGGCAAAGATGTCGGTTCGATAGCGCCATCTTTTGTGCTCTTTTCGGGCCAATACCTGGATTACGGACGAACCGGTGTCTTGTACTGCAACTCCCGTAACTACGCTCACTAAAATAAAACTGTTAATTCGCCCATTCATCTGTCATTTACTTTGCCAGCTGATCCATTTATTGACTCGACGATTAATTCATTGATTAAATAATCTGTTGATTTCTTTTTCAATTCATTTATTCGCAGATTTATTGTTATTTTTCGTTCACTCAGTGTTAATCTATCTTCTTGCTTAAATATTGGAATATATCGTTCGAAGGAAACGAAATGCGTCGTCTACTTCCTTTACGAATGCAACTTAAGAGCCATCCCTGGCCGATGGTCTTTACGAGTTGCGGTGTCTGAGTGCATTTGATTAGCAATTAGCAACATACGCAGAAAAACCTCGCAATTATGTTTAAGGATATGCAAATGCCGAAGAAAGACAAGAGTGAAAGTCACTTTGGTGATCTCATTACAAATATTAACAAAAAACGTAGGTCATCAAACCGTAAAAAATTAAAGGAGTGCTATAAGTATTCGACTACAGACTCAATTACTGTTATTTACTGCAACACAGATTCATTCAGTCCTTTCTTTTTCCATTCTTCATTAAACAATGAAATAGTTATTTCTTTCAGGATTAATTTGTATATCAAAGTACTATACTGACACAAGTATTAACGTTTGGACTGCGGAATTCGACTTGTTATTTAAATTCAGCAATTGATGTAAAATAACATGAATGAGACTAGAAACATCTGTACTTTGAGCTGACAAAATGTGACTTATAGAATCTGAGTTAGCTAAACCCGGATACATACATACTTTTGGATTTCGGAATCGTTTCCATGCGAATTTGAACACTGAGATCAATGTTGGGTGATTTCAACACGATCAACACGTAATCACCGCTTCCGTGAAAGTCATATTTAGTTCCATCGAAGGTAATCACGTGCCCACTGCCATATATGGTACCTGAACATCATGTTTAGGTGTGAAGAGTTTCAGGGGAGCAGTAAAAAATTAACCTATTCTCGACGGAAGGTATCCTTGGCAGCTGGACGTTGGTCTGCGCCAATAGTAAAATTCGCAGTGTTTCGCCCAGCGACAGCAGACGTCGTAGGGCAACAGGTCGTTGTAGAAGTTCGACCAGCTGGGAACATTTGGTGGTTTTTTGTACATGTATGCACCCCAGGGGTCGGCTCGATAGGCAACTCCTGCCGCGTAGTACTTCACGTAGTCTTCAGTATAGTCGAAGTCTTGCGAGAACATCAACCAGCCGGCGAAATCGTAGCAGCACACCTGCGTGGCGCCAGTCATCCTTTAAAAACGACCAAT